ATAAAGTTTAAGTCACATATTTTAATTTATCTCATACGTGTGGTTAACATTTATGTATGTCATTTTTCTTGGCATTTTATGGTTAATTATTCTTTTTAGCAAAGTTAAAATGTCCTAGCTGTCTTTACTGTGTTTTTCTAATTCAAACAGTAGATGCCAAATAAAATGTAAAGGATTCAAAACTTTTTTCTTGATAATAAAAATACTGAGGAAAAAAATATTTCAGACAGTTTAATGTTAACCCAGAGAAATACTTATCCAATCCAGCAAACATCAGACAATGCCAAACTGAGGAACATTCTACAAAGTAACTGGCCTTCAAAAATGTCAAGGTCATGAAAAACAAAGATTATACCAAAGAAATGTCCCAGATTAGAGACTAAAGAGGCATGACAACTAAATGCAATGTGTGATCTTGGATTGGATCAAGTATCATCTCTCAATTCTAGACTATATTGTTCTCTAAAGCTCCACTTTTTCACAATAGCTCTGAATTTGTATTACAATTATGGTATACTCTTATACGTAACCCACCCAAGAGTTCTTAGGGAGCTTTCTAAGTAGTTTGCATTGGAAGCCCAAAAAAGAAAATGACACTCGGTAAGTCACAGTGTGATGACCAGTAGGAAAATTCACTACTCCATAGAACCTCTACTCCAACCAGAAAATCCACAATGACAGTCCCTTACCCAGTGAATAAACTTCACAAGCTTTTCAAAGGCAAAAGAGTTTGTCTAGGACACACAGCAGGTGACCATTTTGCCACAATTTTCAATGGATAACCTAAAATTAGAGTTTTGAATTGCTCACTCTCATTAACTTACACAAAATTTGGAAGATGTACAGGGAACTTACAGCTCAAAAATTCAAAGGCTCTTATGGCCATTAACAACACTCATCTATCTAAATGACCTGTTTTTTTTTTTTTTTTCCCTCAACTTAATCAGTTGTGAGTCATAGCAATACTCAAACAACAAATAAACTAACTGAGCTTCTACTTTGGGTTAGGCTACCAGTTATGTGCTTTAGGACATAGCTGTTCTCAAGGTGCTTATAATCACATGAATGTTTAAATAATAATAGAGATCTTAATGATAAAACAAGACACGTGCATTCAACAAATACATTCAAACAACAAGCAGACCAACATGACAAAGAATCAGGGAAGGAACAAAATATTATTGCTAGCCTGGGAAAACCTTATGAAGTAGGTAGAAATGAGTAAGATTTTAATGTTAACTGTCAATATGGAGAAGCCAAGAAGGGAAGAGCAACCCATGTAAGGAAAAAGTATATGCAAAGTCAGTCACCAAGCTGGGAACAGGCAAAGTGTCCTTGGAGCAGTGAACAGAAATGACTGGCACTAAGTACATGTCCCAGTAGGGCCTACATGTCAATCCATTAGTAACAAAAAAAATCAAGGCAACCTCTTCTCATCATCTCCAGTAATAAGATGCCATCTGAGCATGGGATTTTTTTTTTGCAAAATTTAATCATATTTTATCAACACTCAATTTGGAACTAAACAATATATACATTGTTGTTGTTAGTTGTTGAGTTGATTCCAACTCAAAGTGACCCCATATGTGCAGAGTAGAATTCTTCTATAGGGTTTGCAAGGCGATGTCCTTCTGGAAGCAGACTGTCAGGCCTTTCTTCCAAGGCATCTCTGGGTGGTTGGAACTACGAAACTTCTGGCTAGCAGTCGGGTACTTAACTGTTAAAAAACTATTGCTGTGGAGTTGATTCCAACTCAGACGCATACATACGTGTGTGTGTGTTTTAAATTCCAGACACCAAACTGTTCCATAACACCCTATATATTGAGTGTAAGAGAAAACTGCCCTATAGATTCCAGAGGCAGACAACCTAAGTTGATACCTGACTCCTTCACTTAACTATTAGCTATAAGATTTGGGAGAAAATACCTAAATATTCCCAATTTAGTTCTTTTCCCCTCTACTTTAAATAAGATAATATTCCCTACAACATCATGGTTATTGTGAAGAATGAATGAAATAATCCACATAAAGAACTTAACACAATAATGGGTCAGTAAATGTTAGTCCTTGATAGTACTTCAAAGTTACGAGCAAGGTTAACATTTAAAGGTGAAAGGAAATATTTTCTATTTTCTGTAAGGGTGTATGAATCATGTATAGTTCCTGATAGCTATAATATCATGCTTCAGGAAGAGAAAAAGAAAATAACTCTACCTACGGGTAGCTTTCCTGTGGATTAAAGGGGATGCACCACGGTTTGCTTCAAAATCTACACTGAGAAAAGTCAAAATAAAAGTTGGACACTGGATTGAGATTTATGATGAACTCACTGATGCATTTTTTCCTACTTCTAGCCATTGAGCAAAAAGATAATCTAGGATGTCACAGACCTTGAGCCTGAAACAAAAGAAAATCACTAAGGAAGACTAATAGAGACAGCAGAAGCCTGGCATGCAGCTTTCCTTGAGTGCCAGGAACTAGCCAGGAACAGACACCTACCACAAAAAAGGAACAGAGGCAGAGACCCCAAAAGTAATTTTCTTTAATTAACAGTTTTTAACATGAAGTCTTTAACAACCAAAAATGGTGTGGCATAGAAAAAGTACAAACTGAGTCCCAGATGGTGTACGAGGACATTTAAAAAAAAAAAAAAAAAAGCCTACAAGAAACCAAAAAGAAAAATATTTTAAAAACAAAACTCTGCTTTTGACTTCATTTGGAAAACGCTTGTCAAAAAGTTTCCATTTGTAATCAGAAGTAAAACACGCATACATGTATGCATCATTTCTTTTGTTAACATGAATGAATTGTCATTCCCCTGGCACGCTGTTATGAACACATAGGCTTAGAGTGAGGAATGGATCAGTATGCATGTTGCATTTCTTAATAGAATACAAATTTAAAGCAATGCTGCATCTTCCCCCCAATATCTGTAACTTTGATGGTTTGTCATCAGTTTCCTCAACAGGACTGACTAAATGTTTTGAAAGAACATGTCTATGTTTACTGCTTATATCATCATTTTCCTTCTCAGATTTTCTTATGTTTTAACAGATGTAGTTTATGTGTGAAGTCGCTTGTTTTCCAAAAACTTCCATGATACTGACATTCCAAACCACAAAAGGAAATGGTCCTTCACCCAGGGATCAGGTTGCAAATACTTCTCCACTTAGCATTTATCGTGCCACTATTTCACAGTATGAGTACCACTAGAGAAAAGTTTGAATATTTATATAAGCAAATCTGTCAATCTATTCTCTTATGACATTTTGGTTTGTCATGCTTGGACAAGCATTCACAATCCAAAATTAACCGAGAGATTTTAATGTATTTTTTCTCTTAAAGACTTTTTAGTATATTTTTATGCTTAAATTCATAATCAACTAGGATTTATTTTGGTGTATGGTAAGGAAGTGGAATCTAACTAATTTTTTGTTCTCAATACTAAACAAGCCATTCTTTGCCACTAATTTGAAATGCCACATTTAAGACACATATACAAACCACACTCTCACACTTGCACATACATATACATACCACGCCTGTTTCTGTAATCTCCAATCTGTTTAAACGACATTTTTGTCTAACCCTGTAACAATACCATGCTGATTTAATTATTGTAGTTTTATGGTATCCTTTACCATCATTATCTTTAAAATAGTGTAACTGACTCTTGTGCCCCCGCTTTATTTTTTAGAGTCAATTTGTCCAGTTTCCCCTTACCTCCTAACCTACCATGCCCCCAATACACGCACACCCACATCCCCCATCATAGTTTCAATTAGCTATCACTAACATATTTATTTTATATATAAAAAAATTAGGGCTATGAATTTTCTACAATCCACATTTATTAATGTGTAAAATTCTCGTGGTTGTTTACTAATTTTCCTCTGAGGCCTGGTTTGTCATCTACTTTTGTAGATGACATATTTGAAATATCTGAAAATAACACACCTTTTGTTTGCATGTTTATTAGGTACAAAGTTGTCTGTATAAGAATGTGTAAAGAAAATCAAACGTTATTCAAATCTTTATATTCATTTTTTTTGGGCTATTTAATATGACAATTTTGGGAAAGATGTGTATTAATATTACTCGCCGTGGATATGGTTTTGTTAAATTGTCTACTTAAAACTAAGGTTTTATCAAAACCTACTTAAAACAAAAGTGTTCACTTTTCAACCTATCATATTGTAAGTATATCTGGGAATGATGCTGTTTGGTATATAAAAGATTCTGAGTGTTAGAACTGCTAATGGATTATATCATGTGTCACTATAAAACACCCTCTCTTTTTTTCTGAAGCAGTGTAACTACACTAGAGTACTTTCACAGATACTGATATGGCAATCCTTACTTTCACGGTGCTAGCATTACCTGCTAGAATCAATATATTCTTTTATTGGTCTGTATTAGGATTTGTCTTCTAAACAGGACAAAACTATTTTTGCTTTTTTATGTAATCTGGGAGTACTTGACTTTTATTAAGATAAATTACGCCCTTTATAGTTATTATGACAACTGATATGTTTAGCCTAATTACTGACATCTCATTTTATTCTTCCTGTTTATGATATACTTTTACTGTATTCTTTTAGCCCTCCTTGATTTTTTCCATACCTAAGTTGTCTTTTAATTTTCTTGTACTTTGTAGCCACTTATAGCATTTCACAACTTATGCAGTCCTTTATATATCTGTCAAATTATTAGGCTAACCAATCTGGGTCCCTCAATACAGGAGTGAACAGGAAATTAATTTTTTCCTCTTTTTTATGCCTGCCCAACCAAAAATAATCAGAAAATATTCTGTATTTGGGGTAGTAACAGTAAGTCATCTTAAAATAAGACCTCTTTGGAACTGAATAAACCTACGTATTACCTATTATGAGCCAGGAAAAGAAAGAGAGAACATGTAACTTCATGATTAATTAGTAAGAAGTTAGTTCCATGTATCTTTCCAACACCTCTACATCCTGCAAAAGACAAAGCTCTTACCGTTTCTTTTGGAATCTGCATCTGGCTTGGCTCTGCATTCTAGAAGAATTGAAGAAAAACATAAATACAGACTGACCAAAGCCATCTTCAACACACAGGGACACAAAGCTTTATTTAAAAGAAATTTTGTTGGTTCTCAAAAATCCACAAAATATATAAAGCATGATTATATTCTTTTTTGTGTGTATGTGTGTGTGTGTTTTAAGATTTTTTTTCCTAGATGTAAATTTTTAATGAACAAGTAAAAATTACTTTGGAGGGGAACAAATCTTACCAAACTGCTTTTCCTGTTCATGGCACTGTTTATAATATTGTTTTTTAATTCTCCTGAATAAATTTAAATTATAATGTATATAATAATTTGATAGTTAGACCAGATAAAAACAGTCTGAATCACAGTCTGAACCACAAGCATTATACTTTTAAAAATTACACAAGGAATGTGATTTTTTTTCATATAATATAAAGTTGCTTTAATTATATAGATACTTACAGGTTGATTTATTAAATAGGCACATATTAATAAAAGTATTTAGTCTTAAACACAGAATTTAAACACAGACACCCCAAACAGAGGAAGAGAAAGATTTGTTACTTTGATTCAAAGATAAATTTTTTAAACACCCCCTGTAACTTAAGTCTTCATTCAGGTTTTCATTCTTTTAAATCTTGAAAGGCAGCTGCAAGGTGCACAATAGATTGATGGCCTAGTAGCTCACTCTTTAATGAAAAGCTCACAAGCCATAAACTAAATAACAACAAAAAAACAAAACAAAGTAAGCGGCAGAAGGGAAAAACAGAAGCCGGGAAGATCAAAATTGAACGAGAAGAACCTGAATAACCCTAAGCAAGCTGTACGCTGGCACCAGCTCTGGAAAGACTGCTTAAGAGCAGTGGTTCAAGCTTTAGCAATTTAATGATGCTAACTATTGCCCAGGCTGAGATAAAGTGAGGAAGTATTAAAGCCCATCAAATCACATCTAAAGCTTATTTTTCTTTTAGAAAGTGCTCATTTACAATTTAATAGAGGCATCTCCAGATTTAAGATCAGATGGCATTTTAAGCACAAAATTGGATAACAGTAGGAGAAAAATGGGAAACAGAATTTAAATTGAGAAAGAATGCATTAAACATTTTCAAATATAAATAAAGACGTTTCTATAGTTTATTCAAAACCTACTTAAAACAAAAGTGTTCACTTTTCAACCCTGTCACAAGCTAGGATTTCCACAAAAGTGCAGTAAGTTGTTGTGTGTTATCAAGGGATGGGATAGTTAGAGGACTGAAATTTATTTGGTTTGTAATAAAGGAAAAATGTTATCAACCATGACATATCCATACGTGAAGTTAGAGCCTATGGGGATCAGGCTATGTGACAAATTTGGGAACTGCATCCTTAAATGTTTGCCGTAAAGATAAATAATAAAGATTAACTGTTGTTTAGACAAAAGCTGGCTGAAAGAGATATCAAATATTCTAAAATGACCCAACTAGAATCTGTTTTGAAATATTTAAAATACCACATGTATTTGAAGTAAAACAATTTCTCACCACAATGAAAGATAAAGGTATGTCCTCTAATTACCTAATGTTTGCATGTAAATAAAACCCAGTATTTTTTACAGAAAAATACTCAGAACTATGTACCTTTAAAATACATATTTCACTCACACCAATACCAATACCCCTCTGCAAACAAATGCCTTTTAATTTCATTTATATCACCTCAAATAATGTCATCTATATTGGCAATTAACAGTCGTGGGGCTTATTTCCACTTAGGGTCTTTTTATTTTAAATAATAATAATCTTTTCTCAAGTGCTCCTTTTCATGCAATAATAAGTAAACATCTTTATTTGCTTTACCTACATACACTATGAAAAATGTGTCCTTGGGCTGGAGAGAATGGTAAGCTTTCAACCACAGCCTTTGGAGTGACAGTTATGAAATAATCAACTGCTCTGTGTTCAATCTGTCCAACCGAAAGCTTTTCAGTAATGAACATTTGCTGTCCAAGACAATATCCCTACAATCTGATTTTTAAATATCTCTACACTCATGACTGTGGATGTCTATTTCTAAAACTGAAAGAGTATGAGAGAAAAGAATGCTTGTATTAGGTTAAAGCTGAAGGAAATATAAAATATGAAAACTCTTTGGAAAACGTCTCAATAAACATTTGCTAAAGGTAGCTGGTTCATGTGCATAACAAATCTTTCATCTGCTCTAAATCTACACACCAGTTCCCTTGGGTGGAAGGCGTCTTCCTGGCGAAAGACCAGAAGGCTCACAGTCCCTTCCATCTTGGTGCTTCTCAGCAGGGAAACAACTTCCTCTTGGGATTTGCCTGCTAAATCGACTCCATTTACCTAAAACAAATAAAAAGTTTTCAGCTGCAATTCTGTGCAAACAAAAGAAAAGACCCACATTCTAGGACTGGCCATGTCTGCTGTGGAACATAATTTTATTTGATGGTAAATTCTGCAGTAATTTGATAATCACTGGGCTTTTGTGGTGGATAAAGAAACTTAGACCAGCTATCCAGATGTAAGACGGTAACTAATAAATATTTTAGTATTCATCAATCGACCAAAAGCTACAACTGCCAGGGCATTTAAAATGTGAACTTAACACAAAACTTACAGGCTTTGAGCTAAGATATTTTGATGGTCATGTATAGTATAGGTATTCTTATACCAAAATAAAAAGGTACTGATTTCATAAGGGAGAGTAAAAATCTATCAAAAATAGTTTAATTTTCAATCAAATTGTTACTGAAAATTTTGAAGAAAAATTTTATGTTGCTTTTTAAAAGGCAACATTAAAGAAGAATCGCTACAAAATAATGACAATATTTTGGGGGAGGAAACAATATTTCACCTTAACTTTTTTTTTTTTATTAAGTTATAAGGGAATTCTACCGGAGAAAAGAGATTTAAAATATATCCAACTCCTAGGGAAGTGCATCACTTTTATCTCATAAGAAATGTAACATCATTACCAGAAAGCACAACAGTAGAGAGTGGAGGTTTCTTTAAAAAAAAAAAAAAAAATTCTGTATTATTCTCCTCCGACAAAAAAATAACATGTTTGTTTAAGGTAATTAAGCATATGACTTAAATTATATCAAAATTTTCCTGCAGTTAAAATTTGTGTTGGCCATACAGGGGAAGACAGCACAACTGCACTAAACCAAAAGCTAAGAAGTTTCCTGAATACAACCAAACACTTCGAGGGACAGAGTAGCAGGGGCCGGAGTCTGGGGAACATGGTTTCAGGGGACATCTAGGTCAACTGGCATAACAAAGTTTACAAGAAAATGTTCTGCATCCCATTTAATTGGTGAGTGGCATCTGGGGTCTTAAAAGCTAGCAGGCGGCCATCAATTGGTCCAAACCCACCTGAAGCAAAGGAGAATAAAGAACACCAAAGACACAAGGAAAATATCAGTCCAAGAGACAGAAAGGGCCACATAAACCATAGACTCCATCAGCCTGAGACCAGAAGAACTAGATGGTGCCTGGCTACCACCAATGACCACTCTGACAGGGAATAAAACAGAGAGTCCCGGATGGAGCAGGAGAAAAGTGGGGTGCAGATCTCAAACTCTAGTAAAAAGACCAGACTTGATGATCTGACTGAGACTGGAGGGACCCTGGAAGACACAGCCCCCAGACTCTATTAGCCCAGAACTGAAACCATTCCCGAAGCCAACTTTTCACACAAAGATTAGACTGGACTATGTGACATGAAATGATACTCATGAAGACAGTGATTCTTAGCTCAGGCAGATACATGAGACTAAATGGGCAGCTCCTGTCCAGAGGTGAGACGAGACAGCAAAAAGGGATAGGAGCTAGCTGAATGGACCTGGGAAATGCAGGGGGTGGAAAGGAGGAGTGTGCTTTCATAGAACAAGGAGAGCAACTAGGGTCACATAACAATGTATGTATAAATTTTTGTATGAGAAGCTAAACTGAGCTGTAAACTTTCACTTAAAGCACAATTAAAAAAAAAATTTTTTTCAACGAGGTCTGTTTGATCTTGGCCTCTCTCCAGCCACAACCTTCAACAAACCTGGAAGAAAGAAAAAAAAAAAAAATTGTGTTGGAACCCCTACCTCACTGCTAAAAAACCAAGGAAAGATATGAGTAAAAACAGGTTCAAAGAAAGCAAGATATCTCTAGGCAATTTTAAAAAAAAGAAAATTTAGCTATTTGATACTTTCTAAAATGTATGATTACAAATATCCACATACTCAGGAAAAATTGCCCACGGAATTGTAATACATATTGTACAGATTTGACTATAGATACAGCAAGTTAGGTTTAAAACATGTGAAAACGAAGCTTCAGTTTTAAGAGAAAGCTGACTACTACAGAAAACGAAGCCAATTTCTGAAGAAATACAGGTTGCAGGCTCTTCACGCTTTTCAAAAAGAAAAACAAAAGTCTTTGTGATATGTCTAAAAGAAAGCAATAATGTGATTAAACAGAGAGAGAGACTCAAAAACAAAGTGATTATATTGTGAAAGGAAAGAAGGAATGGAGAAAGTGAGAAAGGAAGGGAGGGAGAGAAGAAGGAGGGATGAAGGAAGGAAGAAAAGAGGACAGAGATAACAGGACAGACTCTTTTTTTTTTGGACATAGAGGAAAAGAGGATTGGATTCAAGTCCCAGCTGAGACACTTACTAAAACATAACATAACTGCAAAATTGGACTAATACTATTCAATTTATACTCCAAGGACAAGTGGTCCTTCTAGAAGTAAAACTCTAAATATAAATTGTACTCAAGCTCTTCTTTGAAACTATCTTTGAAATATATAAACATACATAACTTTTATTTATGTGAATGTTTGTGCGCTCACATAAATAGGTGCAAAAGGAAGAGAGAGAGATTGAGAAATAATATACTTCATTAGCCATTCTTTTCTTAGTATTTTCTGCAGACTACTAGTCCGTATTCTTATCAGCAGATTTTATGTTTCCCAATTATTAACTGCAGTACCTGTGTGGTGCAAATGGTTAACATGCTCAGCTGCTAACCAGAAGGTTGATGGTTCGAACCTGCTCAGAGGAGCTTTGGGAAGAAAGGCCTGGCGATCTACTTCTGAAACATCAGCCCCTGAAAACCCTATGGAGCACAATTCTACTCTGACACACATGAAGTTGCTACACTGATAGAAAAATGGAACAAACAGTAAGGGAGTAAGGTTTAAGGATCTAGGCCCAAAATAAAGAAAAAAATCTGGAAACTATTCCTTTACTCCATTATTTTTCAAAAAGTCTTTAGGAGAGCTTGATCTGGAAAGGTCAATTCACTACATAGGAAACTACAGGCGCAGAAAAAAGTTTACTTTATTAAAAGTTTACTTTAAGATTGATATTTCAGTACCAAAACCCAAACCAAACCCATAGCCACTGAGTAGATTTGGACTCACAGCAACCCTACAGGACAGAGTAAAACTGCCCCATAGGGTTTCCAAGGCTGTAATCTTTACAAAAGCAGATTGTCACATCTTTCTCCTATGGAGTGGCTGGTGGGTTAGAACTGTAGACTTTTCGGTTAGCAGCCAAACACTTAACCACTATGCCACCAGGGTACTGGTTAATAATTACCAAAACCAGTTGCCACTGAGTCAATATCGACTCATGGCAACCCCATTTGTATCTGAGTAGAATTGTGCTCCATAGGGTTTTCAACGGCTGATTTTTGAGAAGCAGATCGGCAGGTCTTTCTTCCCAAGGCTCCTGTGGGTAGGTCCGAACAACCAACCATTTGGTTAGCAGCTGAGTGTGTTAACCGTTTGTACCACACAGGTACTGCAGATTATAACTGGGAAATACAAAATCTGCTGATTAGATTACAGACTATGTAGTCTGCAGAAAATACTAAGAATGGCTAATAAAGTATATTTTTTCTCAATCTCTCCTTTTTATTCCTATTTATGTTGAACGCACATTCACATAAACAAGTTATCTACGTTTACGTATTTCAAAGAAAGCTTCAAAGAACAATTAACAGAAACTCAGAAGGTACAGAAAGGACCTTTTGAAAAACTATTTCTTTTCTTTTTCTGACATTTGACTCTTACATCTCAATTCATTCTCTATGCTGCCATTTCAGAATTTCTTTGTTCCTCTCAACAAGACACACTGTGTTCATTTATTTCATTTGTCTCTGCTTTAATTGCAAAGTAGATAACAATTGTATATCACCAGACATAAATATAAAATCTAGAAATACAACCTAATAGACACTATACTTACATAATGACAAAATGTTATAAACCAAACGTTCTAAATAATGAAAATTTCATGAGTCAACTAAATGAAAAGATAGTGTTTCATGAAATAACATAAAAAATTCCAAAAGGAAATACATTGCTTTGTAATGCATACTTCTGCTAAAATGTATAATCTATTTCATACTTTATGAAAATATTAAAAAGATTTTATTCATCAAAACGGAGCTTTTCATGAATTAAGGAACTTCATATTTAGAGAAGTCACTCACCTCTATAAGTCTATCCCCTGCCTTGAGTCTGCCATCTTGAATGGCAGCCCCTCTTGGAAGAATGTTTTTCACGTAAATTGGAGCTGAGCCACCTATTGTTACATCTCGGGAAGTGATGCTAAATCCTAAACCTTCTGTACCTGGATATATAACAGAAAAAAATGAATAAATATAACGAGATATCTTAAATTTTACAGGCTCAACAAACTTAAAGGATTTGTTATTCTCTCTTTACCTCAACTTGAAGACACTGTATAACTTTCACAATGGCTTACATTTCTTCTAATATCTTAAGACTGTAATAGACTTTTCAAAATAGACTATTATGATTGGTTCAAATGGTACATATATATGGAAAAATCATTTATCTAAGAAGAAGTGGCAATCTTCTCAAAGACAAGTGAAAGTTAATATACAAATATGCCTGCTGAAAGTTTTTAAATCGATCTTAGTCTCTGGGTACAAAAATAATCTTAATTTTTCGCAATGGGAAAAAAAAAAAAACTTAGGCTAAAACCCATAGTACCTCAAAAATTAAGTGTTACTCTGTAATAATGGTATCCATATTTGAAGGGTAGGGGTGGAAGCAAGGCAGCAGAAAATGTTTAGGTAGATGGAAAAGAATCTTCTAGATACAACGAAACTCTCAAAACTAACTGTTCACGGCAATTTACTGACCTGGATTGAACCATATTATCTTTACATAGTTCTCTCTTAGTTCACCTACATCTTACTTAGTATATTTCTCAAAAATAAAAAATTAAAGCAAATTTCTCAGTGATGAATCCACCTCAGGTGATGGCTATCATCTCTGAGGATCATCACATTATGTTTAAAGGTACTGAAATAAACAAGGCATTTATAAATTACTCAGCTGATCTGTATAATTTAAATTCTAGGTTCTTTGGCAGCTTTCTTGACAGGCAGGCTTATAAGCTTAATACAGTGTAGGAAAAGGGGTTATATGTCACTAGAATCAAAATGCAGTAAGCCAAAATGTACCAAGATAAAATGTGAAGATAAATGTAAGTTTCTATGAGTCACAGAATTTTTATAACACCTCTAATAATGATTAATTTCTACCTGAGCTTTTTAAAAAGTTACTTCTTAAATACAAGTCTCTATTTTGGTAAAAAATGATATGTAGGGCAAAGACTTGCTCATTCCGGGACAAATAAAGAGATCAGCTAAGGTGAAAATCTAGAAAATAATATATTTAATGTTACACTTCAGTATAAAACTCTATGTAAAGGTATAAGTATAAACAAATAAATATGGGCAAGTAATATGAATGAAAATGTGGGCTGAAGAAGAAACATAAAGCAGAAATGAAGAAAATATACCTGTAACTAAACCTACTATAAATATTCCCCAGTTCATCAAACAAAACATTCATTTACTTCAAGTCTGAAGTCACTTCAATGTGCCTGAACTGTTAATTTCTTAAGTCTTCTGCGCTGAAGACTTGAATGGCATATTGTCTATATGAAATTTTCCTAATTATTCTGCTGGGACTTTTCCATATGTCTCTCTGCTTTCATGGCACTCTAATGACTTGCAATAACATTTATTAAGAAAGAATTCTAAATTGTTCTCCCTTTGCAATATTAATTTGTAGGAACTACAAAGGCTGACTGTTATATGAACCTCAATACTATTAAAATATCAGCAATAACCTCTAAATCTGTAAGTTCAGGCAATGACCTTTAAAAGAAAGATAAATAGATATCAGTTTTCATTAGCAAAGCCAACAAAACATTTTGCACTGACTGAAACAGATTACTGACCTTCTCCTCTGACTTTATTAAAAAGCTAATTTCTACAAAAGAGCAGAGTATTTGAGAAAGCCAAAATGGCAATAAATATTAAGAAATCATAATTATGGGAGCAAGTACATTGGGGCTATTCTGTTCTGTCATGTTATATGACAGAGATCCAAAACAATGCCAAAGAATCATTACAATGAAGGCTTCCCTTTTTAGTCCTTAAGAGCTGATCTGTTTTTAAAGAATTGCTAAAACTCAAAACACGTTAGTTCACTTTTAACATTTACACACCCTATGTTTGTCATGTATTTCACTAAAAATGTTAAATGTAATGACAATTGGTAAAATTATTATCTACTAGCTACAGTGAAACCTTGTTCAATTCTCATAAAAATTGCTATTATTAAAATATCTGTATTTAGAACTAATTAAAGAAAATCAGCATGGTTCCCCATTCACATTTACAGTAAACACAATTTATTTTATAAACCACTTGTAAGTGCTGGCAGCACTTTGCTCCTTTTGTCAGACATTTTCACAGTTATTAAATTACAATCAAGATAGATACATGGGGCTTTACATCATTTAGATAATTCAAGGTCAGAAAAAACATTTCAAAGGAAACCATTATTTCTATTTTTCTCATATTGATTAAGCACAGTCTGTCTTAGATAGCATAAAATGTAATCATATCTTTTTAAATGCTGTCAAATTAAAACTGCTGATTCCTGTATTCAAAAGAATGATTCCTTATTTGCCTTTCAATGGTAAATAAAATTTCACTTCATTTAAAAACTTCATATTAATGTCAGAATTTGTTAAATAACTGTGAAAAACTGGTAATTAACTAAATGAATTTACCTTTATCAGTATAAAAGAGCAAATATATTTATAACAATGGCCAAGTAAAATATGTTACCTTTGTTGATAGATCCCAAGCAGAATTTTATTTTTTATACAGCTGTATTTGAGGTTGTTGATGTGATTTTGCTTAAAAACTACAGCTTGTCATTTGAATAGAGAAAAAAAAGGAAAGGGGATCTAATATTTCCCTCATTTGGGAACTTAAAGAGCTAAAAGAGGATTTACGCTGATATGCCTTTGTATTTGTAAAGAGTATCAAAAGTGGAGGCAAGCTGTCAACTCCAGCTCACATCAACCAAGTATTTGGAGCTGAAAATCCAGTCACCAGAAATAAGGAATTTATGGTTCACAAAAAGTTCAATAAAGAACATGATTTAGAAAGGAAACAGCAATCTCAGAGTATACAGCCTTGTAAAGCTCGGCCAACCAACTGTGTGAATGTGAGGATATGGAAAGAATCTGCTCCCAGCAACCACGTGACTTGACCAAGTCACTCAACCTCTCTTGGACCCAGTTCCATCCAACTAGGAGTTGGTTGAGTTCATAAAAAAGGAAACACTCTTTATAAGGACACTATTTTGAAAGACATGATTAAAAAGTATATCAAAATGCTTGGCTCAAAATGGATGATGAACAGCAAAAAGATATCTCAGTGCCTTGGGGGGAAACATTGACTTGGAAATCAGAAAGTCATCAAGCCCAGAAGTTGACTCTGAGCTGTGCAGGAGGCTGAACTGAAAAAGTGTGCTTCCTGGACCATGAATCCACAGTCTACGAAAGGGGGACACTTAAATAAAACTACTGGGAATGGGTACAAAGTGTTGTACAGAATTAGCAACCCATTACCACTTCCATGTCACCTTTAAAAGGGAAGCAATGTAGTATTCGGGAAAAGCAGGAGACAAAGAGCCAACAGCCTAGCTTCTCAGCCTTCTATGGTGAACCACTGAGAGCCTCAAACAAACCATCACTGCTCATCCCCAAAACGATGGGGCTGAGATGCAGGTCCTCTGAAGTCCTCATTGAGGGCCGTATCTGGACAAGTGGGCCAGTCAAAGCAGTCTAAAGTTCGTTATGTGATTGAGTTCAACAGTAACACCCCAAAAGGTCCTATTTCATTTTCACTCATTATCAAAAATTTTACTGCAGTAACAACTGCCACCATCTTGGCATAAACTTTTTTTTCAAAGTCTTATTCTCTGAACTATCAAATTTTGATTTCTGTACTGCAAAATGAATCAGAAAAGTATAAAAATTACAATTGTAAAACATGTTCAAAAGTATATGATGTAGCTTTTAAAAAAAAAATCCATAAAATCAGTTTTTTCACATAATAATGGGATGAACGTTAGGGTGTTTGGGGCTAGTTGGTTGACTTTTAAAATAAATTCCGTAAGAGTAAAACAAGATAGGCCATACCTTTCTTAAGCTGGATATTAAGTCTCTTCCCTATTTTTTTGGTGTTATAACCACTGCTTACACTCGTATTGAATACGTTTTGTGGTGCTGGAGCCAGAGCTGATGGTGGTTTCCCGGCAGAGTTTGCACTATGAGGTAGTCGTGGGTGAGAGTCTATCTGCTCGTGCTGATTGTTCAGTCTGGGCACCCTCGGTACTGCGTGAAGTCCTGCACTGTGTACACTCCTGTTATCAATATACTGCCTGTCAGGGTTGAAGCGGCTTGAATAGTAACTGTTCTTCTCACTTTGGGACAGTTGTTCGTACTGCTCTTTATTTGCTGCAGGAACCACATGAAACCAAATGATGGGTGTACGCATGGCTTGGCGAAACATATGTTGTGCTCTGAGTTTCAGAAAGAATGGAAAGTTAGCAAATTAAGACTGATAGACTAAAAGATATTATGAGCTTAATTGAGTATACTAATTATGCAACAAGAACTGACAGACTTGGTTGAAAGTGAAAAGCAAAATACTAATAACCCACTTATCAATCAAGTTTGCATGCTCTGGTATAAGCAGAGCTGTTTCTGCAAATGTAAATTTCTCATTCTCTAAATAAAAATTATCTACAACTACAGATGAAATACTGTGCTCTCAACTGTAAGTCATTAAACAATAGTTTTAAGCACATCATGAACAGAGGCATTATAAATTTAACGTTAACAGAAATTGTTGTATTGTACACAAATAATGCATGTCTTCTACGTGTTTGCCAACTGCTCCCCCCCTCATGAGGTATTTTTTAGGTATGCTATGCTAATTTTTTTTTTTTAATAGCCACATGCAAAAAAAAAAAAAAAAACTGGCATAGCAGCACTTACGAAAACACTTCGCAGGGGAGGTTGGCAAACAAACATAGAAGGTCCACATTGTTTGCGTAAAAATATGGTAAGTACAGCTTTATCCGATACAGTTTTTATAAATCATAAAATATTTCCTTACAGGAGGACCGTTTGAGTATTCAAAGAAATAACTCTCTTTAAAAATTTACTTAGGAAACTATAGAAAGCAACTAACCATTCATTATCAGCTAGGAGCCCTGCTGGCATAGTGGTTAAGAGCTTGGCTGCTAACCAAAAGGTCAGCACTTCAAATCTACCAGCCGCTCCTTGGAAACCCTATGAGGCAGCTCTACTCTGTGCTATAGGGTTACTATGAGTCGGAACTGACTCGACGGCATCTAATAACAACAAAATAATTCAAGTCTGTGTATGCAAAAATTGCAAGAAGTCAAGTGTTACCTGAATGATTCAAAATGTTAATGGTAGTGGGTCCCAGTGTTATCACATGAGAAGCAGCTAGTCAGGAGTCTTCCTGAGTCCTTAATATTTCTCCTCATTCCTGCTTTTATAATAGGAGCTGATCAACTTTTTTTCAGTTGAATAAGGACTTGAACCAGGGTAAAGAAAATTTGAGTGCGTCCAAGAGGGTGACTGAAAGGAGCTTTTTCTGTTTATTGGTACTGAGAAACACCATATGCACCAAATTTAGAAAAGTGAGTTAAGTATAACAAAAACCAGCACACTGATCAATTTTCTAAAAGGTAAGGAAGAAGCAAAATTATGAAGCCTAAATTAGACCCATAATATTTTAAAAAAGAGCTTTATCAGTCACAGGGCATTTTGAAATATAGTCTAATGGTAGTAATTACCTTGAGTTTGATTAAATTTTTAAAAGCTAGATAATGGCAGAAAATACTCCTTCCGAGTAAAATGACAGAGATCAGGGATATGTTGTTTTAAGTATTCCCATCGACTGCATTCCATCAAGCCAAAAGCATGAGAGAGAAGAAGTATAGCCAACACACTTACTGTTCAAATCTTCTATTTCGAAGGTCACCATCATTAATCCTGACAATGCAATCATTCTCATGAAAAAGATTTTCTTGTTCAGCTTTACCACCTTTCTCCAATCGTTTTACTAATAACCCCAGGGTTCTGGAACATTAAGAATGCAAATGATTACACGGGTAATAGTTCCACGGTGCACAATCTCCTACTGCTTTAATGCTGGTATATTTACAAAGACTTCCTTATAAGGAAGTTGTGATGGTTAATGTTATGTGTCAACTTGGCTAGGCTATGATTCCCAGTATTGTGTAATTGTCCTACATTTTGTAATCTAACTGTCCTCCATTTTGTGGTATTGTATGTGTTATAAATCTTAAACCTCTAAATGTTAAATGAGTCAAGATTAGTGTGGGGTGTATCTTGAGTCATGCCCTTACTAATGTCATGCTCTTACTCAGGTCACATCCTTACTGAAGTCACACTCTTACTCAAGTCACCACCTTGCTCAAGTAAGGGGAGTTTCTGTGATGGTGTGGCCTGCATCTAATATCTATGAATGTTCTGGCAAAGCTCTCTCTCTCTCTCTCTGGATCCTGCATCCAGCTCATCATTATCTGACGTCCGGCTCTTGGGACTTGAGCCAGCAGTCTGCCATTTGACCTGATTCTCCAGCTTCCGCAGCCCCTGCAACCACGCGTCAGGAAAAGCCTCCAGCCTGACACCTGGCCCACGGACCACAGACTTGGGATTCGCCAGCCTCTGCAACCACATAGCCATTTCCTTGCGATAAATCTCTTGTGTGTGTGTGCGTGCGTGCGTGTGTGTGTGTGTACATGCTTCACTGGTTTTGCTTCTCCAGAAAATCCAGCCTAAGACAAGGCACATTAAATCACTAATACATTTTAAAATAACACCAAGACAAAAATTTAGACAACAGTCTAAATGATATGTAGAAATTGATGCTTTCAATAAAAATAAGAAATCATTTTCTGGCTCATCAGTATTACATTTCTGAAACAAACTATACACTGCTGTCTACGCTTAAAAATGATTCACACAGGGCAAGTCCGATGGTTCAGCAGATATTGTGGTGTGGAACATGGGCTGAGTGCGTATTTGTGAATGGCTTCTGTTTTAAGACAGTCTTCTGTTTTAAGACAGCTGGTACGCTGCTGAGATGGTGGCTCTCATCTTTCTGTGGAAGTAAAGGTAACGTGCATTGTAGGTTGGAGATGGATAATAGGGAATATTTTAGAAATAGAAGAGTTTCTGTGCTTGGCATCTGAATTTGAGAGTGTCTAATATTCTGAACCACAAAATTTGTTAGCTCTCTCAAAAAGTAAGTAATGTGTGTTACCGGTATTTGAAGAAAAATAAGAAAAAGTCCACGACTGGTTCAAATAATGCTAACTACCACTTATCTCTTCGGTATTTGCCATCAAACTTTAAATTAAAAGAAAAACTTGAATGAACTTTTTTTAGACCCATATGGAACAAATCAAAATTACCATAGTAAAAATTACTAATGTATTTGGTATAGAAGACTAACCTCCTAAATGGCACAATATTCTACATACCCCAGAACAAATAGTAAACACGTTATCACATTATGTGATCACAGTATAAGGAATATCATAAGTCTTTGCCTAGTGCTGATTGCTATGATTTACTTGAACATTAGCATAAATTTTGTAACATGATCATGTGAAAATTTTTATGTGAACTTATTTTTGGCATTTCCAAGCTGGCATTTTCTTTTGTAATTCCTAATACTTAAAGAGACATATGAAAAAAAAAAAATGCCCACATAGATACTAGAATTTAGAATACTGCATAAATAAAGGTTGAAGACACAATAATTTCCAATATGTTCTGTATGTTTTCCAATAGAATTTCAACTTGCAGTATCCTGTATATGCTTTCCGATAGAAATATATCCAAATAGATAGCTTCCTCTTCTAAACACTTAGAGTAAATATTGTATCTGTTTTATGGCCATTTATCTCATTCTCCTGCTATACTTACTTACATATACACCTTATCTCTACTATTGCATTGTGAGCTCCTGGCAGATAAAGAAAACAGAATTCAGAAATACACTTTTAAGCACTTAGCTCAGTAGTAAGAACTTGAAAAAAGACAACTGAACGAATGGGGTGATTGAGTTTAGCTGAAGCAAATAAGTCTTATATTTCTAATACGGTAACTGCAAAACAGAATACAAGTGAAACAGCTTTTAGATTCGGATCCTTTCTTTCTTTCTTTTTATGAAAGTATCATTTTATACCAAAAATATAATTCAATGGAACTGAATAAGCAAAGGTCCTATTTCACATGGTTCACCTGCTACTTTGCGGTATAACCTTGCTTTTTCCATGAACATGAGTCACTGATTAACTTCAACTGAGTTTTGATCATTATGTATAATAAAAAGACAGTGTGTTTCACCAGGGTCAAGTAAGTCAAAGTACATGAAAAGTACCAGGTGATAATATGTGAGTGTTTTCTGTAATTGTACTGAGTATTAGCACATACGCTCTTATTAGGGTGGAGTCTAAATTGTTAGGGACTAAAGAAGACAATAGTATTCAGAAAAATTCTAGCTATTCACTACCATATGTAGAAACTAAACAAATACAAATATTCTCTCACCTCAAAGGTAAGAATAATAATTACACTACTATAGCTACAAGAGCAAATTAACTGTCTCAGTATTAGGAAGAATGAGATTCCATAACAGGCCATATGCGCCATATTGTCATATCCACAATTGCTCTCCCTAGCCTTCTCTACTGTTTGTATCTATCTGCCAATCAACAAAGTGTTCTATCAGAAGAATTAAACAAGTTATTAGATAGATGTGTGATCCTGCTAAGTGGAAGACATTAATTTGAGAAATCACATTACATCATAGTTACTGATAACACTAGAACTGGGGGAAGACACTGTACCATTTCACTTTCACAAGAGCCAAGTACAAGGACAGCTTGAAGGAAAGGATGCCTCAGTCACCTACAGGTAATCATCACATAATCAACAACATGGTAGTACATTTGTTGCTAAGAGTTGCCTATATAGATGGAGAACACTTTTTTTAAATGGTTTCAACATTTCTGCAATCTAAAATGACTAATAATTACTATCGTTCTTATGTATTCTAGTTTGTGTATTAAAAAATAACCCACAGAACATTTTGAGAGAAATTTACAGATTATTTTTAATACTGTAATCCCTGGGTGGTTCAAACGGTTAACATGTTCAGCAGCTAACCTAAACTTTGGAGGTTTGAGTCCGTCCAGAGGTACCTGCAAAGAAAGGCCTGGCAGTTACTTCTGAAAAATCAGCCATTGAAAATATTGTGGAGCACGGTTCTACTCTTACACAAGTGGGGTCACCGTGAGTTGGAATTGACTCGACAGCAAATGGTATGTTTAATATAAATTGTTTAGCAGTTAATTAGCACTGACAATTTATAAATTTATCTCTAACAGGTATACTTTCAGATAAGAAGCCCTGGTAGCACAGTGGTTAAAGCATTCAGCTGCTAACCAAAAGATTGGCAGTTCAAACCTACCAGCCGCTCTGCAGAAGAAAGATGTGGTGATCTGCTTCTGTAAAGATTACAGCTTTGGAAACCCTTGGGGCAGTCCTACTCTGTCCTATAGGGTCACTAAGAGTCAGCATTGACTCACCAGCACACAACAACAGTTCCCTTCAGTATTCGACAGTTTAAAATAACATAACTTAGAAATCTCTAATTTCACAGTGACACTGATATTTTTTCAGATGAACAGTTCAATGGATTTACATTCATCTGTTGCTGTTATTGTTGTCAGGTTCAATCATGTTGGTTCCGACTCATAGCGACCCTATGTACAACAGAATGAAACACTGCCTGGTTCTGCGCCATCATCACAATCGTTGCTATGTTTGAGCTCATTGTTGTGGCCACTGTGTCAGTCCATCTCGTTGGGGGTCTTCCCTAGATAATTCACCTAGATAATCATTTTTCTTTTGTAAACGTACTGTTCTTGTTTTCTCCTTCCTGGTAGTCATTCTAGAATAATAATCCAAAGTAAAAAAACATATGCTTCACTTACTGAATGGCTTGTCTTTCAAAAGAAGCCCTCATATAGGGTCCAGTGCATCTGTAATTCTAGCTTAGAGTAAAAATCTTACAAATCATGAATAAATACACTATCACATTTACATGAAAAATAACGGAAGTTGATTAACCAAGGCTTTAGCATCCAGCATTGTTAAACAGTCACAAGAACCTCAGAATCCTTTTTCTCAGCATCAGAGAATAGAGAATTGATGGGGGCAGGGGTGGGGGTGGCTAGGAGAGAACTTCACCCTCAGTGACACAGCAAGCTGTCAGGGAACCAACAGAACAGACTGAATTAAAGCCAAGTTAGTAGCCTGCTGATTTCTAAGTACTCGACCACACTACTAGAATCATTCTCTCAAAAAGAACGGATTAATTTAAAAGCAAAGTGGCACAATCTGCAAAATCATCTCATTTGCTCCACTAGGTGAAAATGATTACAAGAGGAATGGGAATGAACTATCAAAAAACTTCACAAGAAAATTGAACCGATAACATAACAGCTAGACTGAGAATGAAAAGTACCCTCTGAAGGGAAATCAGCGGAAAAATGTGTGTGTGTGCAAGCAGGTATTTCCATAACACCCGTTTTCAATTTAAAAGCACCTCAAATATTATAATTAAAAACAAATTCAACCAGCCCCTAGAAAGTGAAGTGTTCTAAAATAATAAAGAATCTACAACCTATGGCGTTGTAGTCCCTGTAACACCTCTATGGGAGAAAGTAATTGAGCTAATGAAGTTCAGAACATGTTGATATGTCAGAAGAGTTGTCCTTCTGGGCAGCTAGTACCAGGATTCCTCATTAGTGGCAACCATGTTCCCACAGGAGAAGAAATCACTTTGCAAAAGAAAAAAAAAAAAAGGAGAGGACAAAAAAGGGAGGAGCTGGGGTGCGCTCTGTTTGGGGAATAGTCCAGGAGAAGAACCAAGGAATCTCTGACTAGCTATACTGACAGATATGGGAGAAGAGACACAGTGGACTCATTATTGGAGCAGGCAGACAGAACCATAGGATTGAGGGGTTTGTGAAACAAAA